TTAGAATTTAGAATCTTAAAAAAAAAATAGATTCCTAAGGCAGTAGATTAGAATAAAAGAATAATTATGAGAAATAGATAAGCAAAAAATATTATCATCCAACACACTAACAAAAATAATAATACAGTATGAAAAAATTGACAGGCTTACCTCCTTAGCTTGTCCATAAGGAACAGGGGCGCCATGAATCCATTCTTCAATTTGAGATGTAAATCTAGGGCCTGTATCTCTATAATATGTAGAGTTTTGCTGTGAGATTGTATTGCTTCGAACTGTTTATATATATGTCTGTAGAAGTCTTCATGCAAACGATTCCGAAACCAAACTACGGATGATTCAAGAATAAATGCTTGCATTAATTAAACCATAATTCCAATTTCCAACTCGTAAACCAAAAGGCATATAATTAAAAGTCTGACCAAATTACAATGTAAGCCATTAATTAAACCAAACCCATAAACCAAAAGGAGGCGTATTAAGGTTAGCGGAAAGTTTTCACAAAATACTCTCACAATAACAAAAACGATAGCGTTTCTAACCATGTATTGGGCGGGAAATTTTCACAAAAGATTTGGCTTTATTATAGTTAAGATAAGATGCCCATGTTGCATTTGCAGATAAAGAACCATTAATGGCAAAGAGTGAACCGTGTCTAAAACTTGCACACCTCTTCTCTATTGCTGTAGACTTTCCAAAGACAGGTGTTCCTGCTGAGATCCCTTCGGATTTACGAGTCAAAGCATATCCAGATTTTATGGAAAAGCCTCCCGAGAAGGTAACCTATGTTTCAAATCGAGTAATTGGAAAGCTATTTCGGGAGGTGAAGGATATTACTCCCGAGGTAAGCTCTATAAGGTCCTTTACTCCCGAGATAGCAAGGAAGTCATATGATCCCGACTTGGAGGTTGATGGGTTCGAAGAATACATGGATGAAGCTTTCTATCACAAAACCAAGTACGACTTCAAATTGGGTAATCTTATGGACTACTATGGCATAAAAACCGAGGCTGAAGTACTCAGTGGCGGGGCCATAAGGGCTTCGAAACTCTTTGACCACAGAAGGGATGGAGATGCTGTTAGTTTCGCCGTGAAGTCTTTGAGGAAGGAAGCAAGGGCATGGTTCAAGGTAGGAAGCGAGTACGATGATCAATTGGCAAAAGCGTCGGCTTGGTACTATGTAACGTATCACCATACTTACTGGGGTTCCTACAACGAGGGAATGAACCGTCCTCACTTTATCAGTTTCCCGTGGTGCGTCTACGACAAGTTGATTCAGATCAAGAAGCATGAATACTGTGTAAAATGCTAACTTTTGTTGTTTACTTTAAGATGAGGGTGTAGCAGCATTATCTGCATTCTACAATGCACCAAAACTTTTTGTATTATATATATGGTGTGGTGCCAATTGTTTAGTTATATGTTGAATTGGTTGTTATGCTTCAATGTTGAATGTATGTATTGTGATTTAAATAGCATCTTTGTGGAATGATATGATGTATGTTTTTTAGAAAAGTTGCATTTTTCGTTATGTGGTGGTAGAGTTTGACTTTTACGTAGAGATAATCTAACTCACTATTCTAACATGACACATTCTAGCAGTCTGCGTATTAACTACTCTACAATGTTGAGTTAGAAAAGTTTCCTTTAAAATAGAATTAAAATAGAAAAGTTACAATGAAGCGCTCATGGCTTAAGAGTCGCACTATGTCTCATGTCATTGTTGAGTCTGATTGCTTAAACTTTTGTTCTAGTTTTAATTGCTCGTCAGTTTACTTATAAAGCAATGTCGTTTGGTTGCTAGGGACATCAGGGACGTTGTCTGCCATGTCAAAAAGTCAGCGAATCATGTAGCTCATGTGCTTGCACGGGCAACTAGTTCTTCTTCGGTCCTTGGTGTGTGGGATTTAATTCCACATAGTTGTATTTCGGAGTTGGTTCTAGTTTGATTTTAATGAAGTTGCTTTGGTTTTCAAAATAATAATAATAATAATAATAATACTTTGCATGATTAGTGTTAACACAATAGATTTAAGGGAAAAGGGTCAAATAAGCCCTCGAACTTTATCTCAAGAGTCAATTAGGCCCTCAAATTTTGTAAAGTTGCAATTAGGTACATAAACAAGTCAAATTAGTTCATCAAGACCCATTTACCTGTTAGTGACCTGTAATACCAGGTCACTTAAATTCTAGCCATTGTTCCGGCAATAAAAATCTACAAAGGAGACCAAAACGTTGCCGGAGAAGGCGTGACCGGAGATGGCGACCATAATGGTCACTTGCTCCGTCAACGATGGCCAGAAGTAGATCTGTGATGCCCGTCTTCAATCTGATGCTATAATACGCAACTTCTGCCTCGGAAATTTCTATCAGATTCCCTGCCATTTCGAGCAAATTAATGTTGATAATGATTACCCATAATTTTATTTTATTTTTTCGTTTTATGCCTTGGTGAAGTCGTTATTTTGGTTTTATTTGGATTAGACAGATGAGGTGGTTCGATTCTTGAATGTGATTTTGGAGGGATGTTGTGATGGGTGTTTGTGTTTATAAACACAACAGCGAGCTCTTCCTCGAGAGAAGAGGCATAGCTGTTGTTGTGTCTAAATCTCTGGATTTTCGCAGGAGTCGAAGGCTCAGTCGGGTTTCGAAACGAAGTTTGTTTCTTTGGGTGCTTGAGTGCTTCTGCTTGCTGTGCTGTTTTCAATCTATTTAATTGTTTTTGGTTTGAAGATGCACTCTCATGGTGACTGGTGAGTGGGAATTTATTTATCCTTTTTTATTGTCTAATGTGGAAAAATGAGCTTAGCATGTACACATAGCAGGAGCAGGTGACCATTTTGGTCGCCATCTCACAGTTTGGTCACCATCTCCGGCGACATTTTGGTCTCCTTTGTAGATTTTTATTGTCAGAACAATAGCTGGAATTTAAGTGACCTAGTATTACAGGTTACTAACAGGTAAATGGGTCTTGATGAACTAATTTGACTCTTGAGATAAAGTTCAAGGGTCTATTTGACTCTTTTCCCTAGATTTAATTAGATATCAATGCAATATGCAAAACAAAGACCCTTTGGGATGTTTAGTATGTTCGTAAAATGTAAGATTACACTATGTATGATTAAATCATAGAAGTAATGTGAGGTTATATGAATATAGGATTACTTGGTATGTTTAGCTAGGATTGTGTGAATGTGACATTAATTTTTTTTGTTTCTAATAATTAAAGTTTCTTGACTTCGTGAGATTATATTATGCACATCATAAACCACTCTTAAACCTATGAGGATGTAAATCGAGCTTATTTAACTCGATACTTAAAATCAAAATGTACATTTCTATGCACAAAGAGCCCAATCCAAACCAAAATTCTCAATATTCATGGCAATAATTGAACCCATACTTTGCCGTTGTAAATAAGTTTTAAGTGAAGTTATATTTTAGGTTATACTCTATTAAATAGGAAAAAAAGTAGAAAAATAAAAAAGAAACATAAAAAAATTAACTCCCTAAGTTAAACGGATAGTGCAATTAAACCCCAAGTAAAAAAGAAAAAAGATTCATTCAAGCCCCCTAAATTGGTTAATGAGGTGTTTGGTTTACTGTAATTTAGCTGTAGTTGAATTGGTATTCAATAGAGGCTTCAATTATGTTGTTTGGTTGGAAGGAATTGCAATTCTCTCTTTTTGTTGAATTGCAATTCAATAGGTGTGAGAAAGGGAAAATAGATGAAACGACATTACTACCCTTAGTTATTATTACACAAGGATATTTTAGTCTTTATACCACTTTTTTCCTTCTCAATTCCAATACTTCTATTTCTCCCCACCAAATAATGTAATTTGAATTCTTACTTTATTTCCACCTTATTCTTTTCCAGTAACCATTAACCAAACCTCCTATAAAATGTTCAATTTTGAGTCCTATATTAACTTGTAGTTTGGCAGGTGTGTTTCCCAGTCTGACACGTGTTTTTTTTTAGTTCTTTTACTTTTTTTTTTCAAAAAAAAAAAAAAAAAAAAACTTTTTTACTTTATTTATTTAATCTTTTATTTTTATTTGTATTACTTTTTACTTTATTTATTTAAACTTTTTACAATACATACATTTAACATTGAAGCATAATGTGTATCTGCATCACCATTCTTGTATAATGTGTGCCATGTTAGGCCATCTCCAACCCATTACACCAAATTTTGCATCAAATTTTACACCAAAAGGAATATTCCCAGAATATTCTTACACCAAAATTTATTCATCTCCAACCCATTACACCAAATTCTATTTCTACACTAAAATAATTTGTTTTCTTATAAATTAAAATTTTAATTTTTTTTTACTTTAATTTTTTAATATAAAATTTAATTGTAATGCAAATAATATTTTTATTCCACGATAATATAACATATAACAACTATTACATTTAATTTTCAAAATTACCATATCGTTCTCACAAATGCTCTGTCAATACATTACGAAGTGCATAATGTGCTTCTCTATTAATTCTAAGTATGTTTTATTTAATTTCGGATGTATTCAGTTTAATATTATGAAAATTATATTTTATGTATTTGAATTTTTAATTAATCTATATATAATATTGGGCTTGTTTTTATCGTATTGATGAGATCTTTCAAATGGTATAATTTATTTTTAATTATTCAAATTTTATGTTTATGTATTTAATAAAATATGTAAATCCATAAAAAACAAAATAGAGATACAAAAGGAATTAATAAAAAAGACAAGGGTCAAAATAAAAATTAAAAAGATTAACACCATTTTGGCGTCAAGCTACAGTGCAGCGTCAAATATGCCGCTGCACTGTAGATCATCGCCAAAATGGCGCCTCTTTTGGCACTTCGTTGGAGGAGTGCAGCGCCAAAATCAGCACCAATTTGACATTTGGTGTCACAAATGCCGCTCCCTTGGAGAAGGCCTTAGAGTATTAAGTTAAACTTTTCGCAAAAGTACAGCTTTACGAGTGTGACAAAAAGAGCAACTTGTCTAAAAAACATACATCATATCATTCCACAAAGATGCTATTTAAATCACAATACATACATTCAACATTGAAGCATAACAACCAGTTCAACATATAAATAGACAATAGAGCACCACACCATATATATAATACATAAGTTTTGGTGCATTGCAGAAAATGCAGATAATGCTGCTACTATACAGCCTGATCTTAAAGTAAACAACAAAAGTTAGAATTTTACGCAAGTATTCAAGCCAATTTCAAGCCCCCGAGAGCCCTCGCGATGTTTAGTTTGTCCTTCTTGATCTGAATCAGCTTATCATAGACACACCACGGGAAACTGATAAAGTGAGGACGGTTCATCCCCTCGTTATAGGAACCCCAGTAAGTATGGTGATACGTTACATAGTACCAAGCCGACGCTTTCGCCAATTGATCATCGTACTCGCTTCCTACCTTAAACCATCCCCTCGCTTCCTTCCTCAAAGACTTCATGGCGAAACTAACCGCGTCTGCATCCCTTCTACGGTCAAAGAATTTCGAAGCCCTTATGGCCCCGCCACTAAGCACTTCAGCCTCGGTTTTTATGCCATAGTAGTCCATGAGATTACCCAATTTGAAGTCGTACTCGGTTTTGTGATAGAAAGCTTCATCGATGTATTCTTCAAACCCATCAACCTCCAAGTCGGGATCATACGACCTCCTCGCTATCTCGGGAGTAAAGGACCTTATAGAGCTTACCTCGGGAGTAATATCCTTCACCTCCCTAAATAGCTTTCCAATTACTCGATTCGAAACGTAGGTTACCTTCTCGGGAGGCTTTTCCATAAAATCGGGATATTCTTTGACTCGTAAATCCGAAGGGATCTCCGCAGGAACACCCGTCTTTGGAAAGTCTACAGCAATCGAGAAGAGCTGTGCGAGTTTTAGACACGGTTCACTCTTCGCCATTAATAGTTCTTTATCTGCAAACGCAACATGGGCATTCGAAATAATGCCTAAACTGTCGTTCAGAATGTAATCCACAAAATACTTCTGAACTTCCTGTAGTGAAGAAATAATAGTAATATCATGAAACTCGAACATTTTTGTAAAAGGGCGAAAAAAGTTTTGGATTCATCATAGTGCAGTACCTGAATCGTAACATCATGGGATACGTCCAGGCTCGGAGCAGGGGTATAATCCATTGGAGATTCCATCGACCTTGGTATCAATTCTTGGTCCCAACAAACAAAGTAAATATCACCATCCAAATCACTTCCCGAACATTCATTTGGATGAGGTCTGCCAACAAAAGATCAACAGAATTGAGCAACCAGAAAACACCCCCAAAAAAACTGTAAAATCAACAAAGTTAAATTATTTTGTTTCACAAGAAAATTAACGTTAATTAGAGAAATACTAATACCACACTATAGTTTGAATGTTATGTTAGCCAACCACGCTTAACCATAGAGTTCTTTGACTATCTGGTTGGTATATCCAACTGGAAACCAATTGGTGATAAGTAAGTGGATATTAACAATTTAACCACAACCCTTCCTGGTAAGCCAGGACACCACATCTCGTATCGAGCAGGGGTTGAACTAATTATTTAATCAAATTAAAGATGATTAACAGTGTTCATAAATTATTTACTAAGAAAAAAAGAATCCAAGAAATAACATTGAAAGAAATGATGCAAAAGATAGGGATTGTAATTACCTCTCGCCCTTTTGGGGGAAAACAACACAGTCCACCATATGGTGCAAAGCCGGCACATTAACAGCCCTCAAAACACGAACATCACCGGGATGCAAGCACGGGTTCTTTGCGACAACCACCGTTCCCTGGACAATCCAATTGTAGTTTCGGGGTTCATCGAGTTGAGGACCAACGGGAAGTTGTCTCCGTCCAGCACCAGAATATTGAACAAACACTTCACCGTAGTTCAATGTTCTGGTTTCATCGAGGCATCCCATCATTGATCTCGCTTTGGGGACAAATATCCTCGTCCTAGTCCTCAAATCTTGCAACTTCGATGCCCGGAATGTTTGTAACATCATCGAGAGGAATGGTTCGACATCGGGCTTGTAACCACACGTGAGCATCTCTTTAAGAATGTTGGTGTTTTCTCCCGGAGCCATCAACTCGAGAGCCTCGTATGCCTTTAGAGGATCGGTGAGGATAGCGTTAAGTTGAGCAACTTCATCTCTTTGCTTCCTCTCGAAGACCTCGTCTCTAACACCGAGCGTAGACAAGAGTGTGACTAGTTGGCGATTAAGATAACAGGGCTGGTATTTGCTCCACGCCAAAACATCTAGCTTTGTGTTGTCCGATTCGTATTTCAACATGCTATTTCTCAACGACAACTTCTTTGATGAAGAAGGATCGACGGCAACGACACCCTTAAATCCACCATAACGGATTTGAAAAGCAGATGGAGCAAACTCATCGAGGCCACATTTCATGGCAACTCTTCGAGCAAAGTGTGCAGATATTTTCCCGATCCCATCGGAAAAATTATATTCCGTTCCTTGTCTCTGAAGCTTTACGTCGGGAATCATTTCAATCTCATGCCTGGCAACACTCAACGTTTCCCGGGATGAACCGAAAGATTGGCCGAGTCTCGCAGCATACTTTGCGACATTTTTAATCTTTCTAAAGTCTCCCATCCATGCTCTTATATCAGCAGCTGTAAGTCCAAATCTCGACGCAAACATCCAAACAGAACTCTCCCTCAACTGGCTCGAGGAGAAAGCGAGAAATTCGAATCTTTTATCCCCAATAACAATGCCATCTCTGAGCACCTTTAGAATCCTGTCATAAATGTCGGTTGTCTTGCTGATACCACCCGGGGAAGACGCACGGGGAGATAAATCTATCGAATGTATTTTCTCCCAATCCTCATCAACAAACGATACACGAAGAAAATTATCAATATCATCTGCATAATTGCGCAACACACGATTCGATTGGTTTACCTCGGGCCCACTAAAATACACCCTCGTCGGAGTAACTAGGACTCTCCGTACATATACCAAGCCATCATCGAGACTTATAGCAGCAGATTTCGGAGGCTGCTTGAACTTTCGATACTTCTCATATTGCTCAGTCAACCAACGAACAGGATCATAACAACATTCCTTTAAATAGTACATTTTCTCCAAGGAAAACTCGATGCATCCAATGTTTATAGTACGTGGATCAACTAAACTGAAAAAATTTGTATCGAGTGCTGGCCCAGGAAGGCATCCTTGTTGCACCAAAGAACAGATCTTAAACAATACTTTGAAAGGCAAGTTAACTTCCCGTGGGGAACGCAGAATTGGAACTAGATCCAGATTGTGAGAAAACGGGTGACCAGACTCTACGCTGAATTGCCAATCCGTTTCGCTGTAGTACACAAAATGATCGCGGAATTTTGGTAGCGTGACACCTGCAGGAATCTCCAAACACAAACTCGAAGATTGTCCAATGCAATTTCGCGTAAAATCTGTTGTCCTCACCCATTGATCATCTGGAGTAACCGAATAGAAGTTATAAATGGAGCCTTCTGCTTTCTTGTAGATCCGGGGAGCAGCAAATAACTGAAACAGAGTGATGTAAACATCGAAGTTATAACTTAAGTTTCCTCCAAGATGTAGCAATACAAGTGTTAAAAGTAAATCTATCATTCTTTGTTATTAAACAAAATTGCATTCTATACATAACAACAAACAGAAATAGAATGCACTATAACCTTCTTTAATGCATAAGTGAGAGATGACATGTGTTAATTGGAAACATTTGCATAATAATCTCAAAAACAACGAATCTGGCTAGCACTTTGCCCCTTAATTGGGCCGGCCAGGTGCGAACGGGGATTAGTCTGAGTATGGTACGGGCTTAAAAGGTGCCTCCTATAGTTAGGGTCTGCTCAAGACACCTCGTGGTCTGAGCCAAAAAAATAATCTCGAAAACATAGATTCATGTACAAGCTTTCCCTAAAATTGAGCAACAATACATAAACTTCTTGATAAGGAAAGGAGTACACACGTAACACACACATCTCTATATTTACCAAAACACAAGCACATGGTCGGGACGATACACATGAAAACACAATAACAAAATAGCATAAACGGAACCAAGGGATACCTGTATAACAAGGAATTTCACATTTCCACGATGGGGACGATACAGCTTGATCTCCCAAATGTGTTCATATGAAAGTTGAAGCTTGTATTCAGTAGATTGATAGGATAGAAAGATGTGCATTTTTTTCAATCCATATCCGAATTTTATCGAGACATTAGCCCCTCTCCATATCGAGTAAAACCGCTCCTTTGATGTTTGACATCCAAAGTACAGAGTTAGATTCTTCATCTCATGGGTGTACGATCTGTCTTGCACAATACGGGTGTCCATTTCAAAAGCCTTCAAATACGAGGTCCCAAAATACAACACCCTCTGTTCAGCCAAACTTATAATTTCATCCGCACTTCTATTGTTTCCAAATTGGACTTTCGCATATGATCGTTGTCCCGTTCTGCACTTTTTAACCTCTAAGGCACATACAGAGCCTGCTCCAGTATGCTTCTCTATGCAAGTTTTAGCTGCTTCTGCACTCACAAGATAAGGGAACCCAGACACCTGAACCGTCTTTCCCATGCTAACAGATATCAACCAAACTGAAAAGTTTCAAATACTAATCACCAAACCCCTACATAAAATGTGCAAAGTATGTGAGAAATTTATTTTTTTTTTACACAAATATAAAATGAATCAATGGGCATCAAAACGAAAGATCAGCAACAATATGATTACCATAAGTCCATAACACATGGGAAAAAAAAACAAATTTAAGTCCAAACATTGAGAAACTATAGAGCATGGTAATAAATAAAAGAGAAAAACATGATCTTTCATTCTTTCAACACTGTCCATTATCATTCTAAGTGAAAAATTGATTCAATAGCATAATGGCAAGTGAAATGCTAAAATATTTTGACATGAACTAAATTGCAAGAAGCATAGTAAGCTAGAAAATGAGAAAGATGAAAGCAACTAAAAACTCAACATACTCATTTAGGTTTGAAAGATCAAGATTTGTAAATTACTGGACAGACTCAACTATGGGTTTTCTTCTTCCAGTTCTTTCAGTTATTTTACAGCCAACTATCAACTACACACCTGCAAACATAGATCCCAAAACAAGACCCTCCACCCCAAAGTTATGCAAGAAAAAAAACAACTTTAAACCCATGTTCCCACGATGTATACAAGGTTTAATAGCTCGTACCCATAAAATTCCTGAGAATATCTAAGAACAAAGGCGTGATCAAAGCAGAAAACCAAAAATAAGAAGAAAAGAAACAGACCCACAATCCCACATACAAAATTCCTAACTGGGTTTGGGTTTGGAGGCTTACCAGATAAAATAGAGTCCTTCCGGCTCTGCCACCATAAAAAAACTTCAACTAATGGAAAAGCAGTATGAAGCAGAGCATTCCTTCACGAGATTATATATGCCATTATATTATATTATATATATACATACATAGACAGGAGAGTACGAGTAAGAGTGGAAGAAGAAGGGAATGAGTGTGGGACGGTCAATTTATTGGTCAATCTTTCTTCAACACAATTTCGCTTTCCAAAAATTTCGATCAATCAATCCCATATAAATATTGGAAACTGAACCCAATCACTTCTACTCCTTCTCCCAAATATTGCTTATTAAACCAGTAAATTAAGCTCGTACAGACAACTGAATCCATGCTTTTTTTATTTGCAGTATTTAAATTTTTTTTTTCTTGAAAGCTACTGGTTCTATTACACTGTAGTATCTGTTTATATACTTTCTCAACCTACTGAAACACAAAGAACCAATAACACCTCCACTGAGGCTCGAACTCATAATCTTCCAAATGGAAGTCCAACCCGGATACCATTAGACCCCATATACTTTCTTATTTTTAATTCATTTTTTCATAATATTAAATTTAGTATTAGTATACAAAATTTAAATAAACTACACTAAAAGTATTATTAAACACAAAAAATCAAATTTAAAAATAAGTGAAAAATAATAAAGAAAGAAAAATAAACAAAGAATAAATAGTTGATTTGACAAATGAATAGTGAATAGAACAGATAAAATGTGGGACAGAGAACATAATAATAATAATAATAATAATAATAATAATAATAATAATAATAACAAAATGATTTGTTTCCTTTCAAGAATTTCAATTCCACTTATATTATAAATTGATTGACTCTACTAACTTGTTATTCAACACTAAACAATTCAATGAAAAAGTATAAAATTTTGAAATAGTGGGTAACATTAGTGGATTTAGTGCATTACTCATTACCCACCTTGAGGGGTGGGGTAAACGAGCTTAAACTAAGAATAACAATATGCATAACTTAAAATCTAGTGATTATCAAGCTTGGCCAACTTAATTATAAGTTACATATTTATATTGTGAATTTGTAGTGGATTAGGAATTAGCATTAGAAACTAATTTTTATTTGTTATTTTTTTTAAAACAAGGAATTCTTTACAACAATATTACTCCACTCACCACATCTTGCCTATCGTGTTTATTATTTATTTGTCAAATCAATTATTTTTTTTCTCTTTTATTTTCTTAAAAAGTGTTTAGTAATACTTTTTACACAATTTCTAAATAGATAAATTTTATACTCTAATATTAAATTAAATATTTTAAAAAACGAAATTATCAATTATTTTAATCAAGTTTCATTAACATTAAATGAGAGGGATAGGTGCTAACAACCATTTTTTTGTCGAATTTTCAATTCTAAGGGCCTCCGCGTCCCGACCGGACAGAGCATTTGGAAGGATATAAATCATGGTAACTCAGCTGATCAAAGAAGCTAGATCTAGTGAAACTCAATCCCGAATAATTGTTTTCAAACTTCACATCTGTGACCAATTGAACTGTTCATGTGGACACAACTATTTTTTAACAGTATAGCATAATGCAATGACAAGAGTTTGAAATAATAATTAACTTTGTGGTTGTAAGAGTTTATTACTTTATTATTTCAAACTCTTCTTCTTCTTATCTTCTCGCTGGGAGAAGAAGAGTTTGAAATAATAAAGTAATAAACTGTTACAACCACAACCTTAATAAATTTAGGGGGGGAAATCGCTTCTTTTCTATTATTTGTATGAATCATACTACATACCCTAACAAAAATTACTGCACAATAATATGTATTACTTTTCGTGCCATGCACCAATAAATATTTTGAAAAAAAAAAAAGAAAGAAGTTAAATAGTCTCTCAAATTTTATATATAAAAAGCAATTAAATTCATGAACTTTTAAAAAGTACAATTAAAATTCAAATTCACAATACATTTAATCTCAACTTTTAAAGTTCATAAACTTATATTACTTTTTTTCGTGTAAAGCTTGAGAGTTTATATGACATTTTTTATAAATATTTTTATTTGAGTATTACATATATTCTTTATTAATCTAAAATATGATTAACTAATTTACGGGATTTAATACAAAAACATATTGCTTTTTATATATGTTTTTTAAAGTACACTGCGCTAAGACACTAAAATTGCAGTGAAGTACACTTGTGGACTAGATTAAATCAAAAATTTATTTTTGATAGAAGTGACAACAAGGGGAAGCAGGGATCACGCCAATTAATAGGATTTTGTGTTGCAAAAATTATCCTTGGGTACTATTAAGTGAGAGCGTTTCATTCTAAAACTGCTATTGCACCGGTTAATTTTATAAAAAATTATGTCACATGTCATAATTATGCATTCTTGAAATATTTACTTTTATGAAAAATTGATAATCTTGCATTGATATTCGTCAGAATGATACTTTGATAAATTTTGAAATACTAATTTTAAAATACACATTGGACGTTGGACTATTTGCACAATACACGTCTAGTAACTAGCTAGTATTTTTATAAGTAAAGATATCATTGTATGATTTTGGCAAATCGTGTAAATATTATTACCTTCATCCCATTTTATGTGTTTGGATCAGTTAACAAAGTTTGACTGAAGTTATTTTTACTCTAATTTTTCATAATATTAATTTTATTATTATTATTATACAAAAACTATACCTTTCGAAACTACATTAAAAGTATTAAATACAAAAAATTAATTTTAAAAATTTTAAACAAAAAATAATAAAGAGAATAAATAAAGAACAAAGAGTTAATTTAATCAATAAATAGTAAATAGAACAGATAAATAGAGATAGAAGGAGTAATAAAATTTTCTTTTGCGAGGAAACATCTCAATTGACAATAATGTTGTACGAGTAATAAATATTACACGAGGAAGATGACGTATATGGATAACGTATGGCATGATTGCCATACCCAATGGTGGGAGAAGTCTTGCGTCATTTGGTCTGCTATTTGGTTACGTTTCGACCAGTGATTGGTAGATGAGACGACAGAGCCCCCGTCATTTTTTCTTCTACACATCTACCACACCCTAAACTTTTTCATAATTTTCATTTTGAAGCAAAAATCCCTTTATTATTTAATTTTATAAAAATTATGATTTCTGTTTTTTTTTTTTTGTTTGTTCATACTTCATATAACAATATTAATGCATAATATTAAATAGTGGTGGGCATCAAGTTATAAAAAATTGGTATAGTTTGAGTAACGAGGGAAACTCGCAGTCACTACTCGGCGATGTGCATCGGGTAAAATCCACTTTGTGATTCTAGCCGACAAAGGACCACAATGAGATAAACCAACCTAAGTTGTTCATAGCTGACCGACTCTAGATATATAATTGATGTACTTTGAGTTTATATATAATTGCTATATATAGATATATATAACTAGATATTAATTGTCCCAAATGTAAAAAATAAAAATAAAAGTTGTACTCCGTATAGTACAACACAAAAGGGAATAGAGAAGGTTTTGAGTTTGTATTACTTATTAAGTACCGAGGGACATACTATGTATAGACTTAATTGATGGGTAATAACTTTGCTTATGATCTCTTAATTGATTTATAAATAATAATACATGTATTTTTATTTGTTTTTTTACGTGATATTCTCTTATTAATTCAAAAAAAAAACTTTTTTTTAAAAAAATTAGTAATAAAAATAAAAGACATATAACTAAAATTGTATACTATTTAAAAAGGTGATTAACACCGTCTCTTTAACTCCCTATCCATGAAACTTCATGGAAATGATGGAAATTGGAAAGAGAAGCATTTTGGAGAATAGTCATTTATAAGTCTTCGTTCGTACATGAAGAAATTGATATAAAGTTAAAAGTGTTAATCATTTTAAAATCCCACCAACTTTTATCTTAGGTCATCCTCAATAGGGGAATTTTACACAATTTTTTTAAAAAACAATGATGTATTAGAAAAGAGAGGAGAAAGAGGGAAGGGGTTGTTCTGTTATTTAGGAGATTTTGTCAGGTTTTTGAGAATTTTAGGGGAGGTTTTGGGAAGGTTTTTTCAGTTTTTATTTATTTTTTATTTATTTTTTATTTTTTTCTTTTCACCCATTTCTCTTTCATAATCACACGTGCAAAATTTGCTCAAAATCATACCACCATTGAGGATGCCCTAAATTAACCAATAAAAATAAGAGGCAAAATAAAAGAAATAAATAAAAACAAAACAAAACAAAACAAAACACAGTACATAATCTCTACCCAATTAACTTTGGGACCACTAATGAATGAATTTCTATTTGTCTTGTGGAATATTGAACATTACCTTTTGACCCAAAAATAATAAATTTATTCTAAAAATATAAATTTTCAAGTATGAAGTCTAAAATTTATCAAAAATAATAAATTAATAGAAATTGTGACTTTTTAAATCCATCAAAATTTATTTGTTATCAAATCAGGGGCAGACCCACAATGGGAGTAGCTGTCTCCCTCCCCACCCCATCCTCATATATATATATATATATATATATATATATATATATATATATATATATATATATATATATATATAAAATAAGTACAAAATAAAGATAAAAATAAATGAAAGATGAGTTAGCCAAGTTGGTAAGTCATAGTTACAGTTTCTGAGAGGCTAAGAGTTTAATTTGAATCCAGGTATGCTCTTAACCTTAAGTTAGTTTGTTTGCTACCTCTACCCCACATGCATTTATAATGTGTTTTGATGTATTTTATTTTTGTCCATATCCAATAATTATTATTATTATTATTATTATTATTATTATATATATATATATATATATATATATATATATATATATTAATAATGAGATGTGTTTTCTATTCGAATCATTTCATCAACATAATTATGTTTCATATTTTGTTATGAATAACTTTATAAAATTTTAATGTATTTTATTTTTCATTCATATTCACAAATGTTTATGGCTATGCTTCCTAGAGTATAAGTTGAGGGCTAGTAAATTGCATTTTTAGAAGAGTTACACATTCAAATGAAGTTAGACAGAGTCTCGACTAAATTAATTTTAGGGAAAATGACATTTTTTGCCCTGAGTTATATACTTATAATACTTTTTCCCCCTCAATTATTTAGGTAAGCACATTAGCCCTCTCAATTATTATAAAAGTGGTGCTTTTTCCCCATGATATATTAAA